CCCCAAAACCCCAAAACCCCAATGAGGAAATCCAATAGAGAATAAAATGTATATAATTCATAGCATTAAAAGTTAAATACTGATTGGATATCAAATCTTATATTTATAACTCTCATTAGTCTTAAGAAAGGATGCTGTATACTTTAAATCATTCTAGACTACTTCATAGGTGTGGATGCTTGAATTAGAAGGTATTAGTCTTATTTTCCTGCTTTTGGCTTTTATCATAGATAGAGCCCCTCAGACTAATTTACAATCCGGGTCCTCTCACTAAACCAAACATTTAATCCTTGTTATTCAATATTTTAATTGACTTACTTGTGTTATTAGGATTCTGCATAAAGAATGTAGTCCCTTTTGAAAAAACGCTAGCTTTATCTTGCTGAACCATGCTCTCTCTAAATTTCGTCTCCATATCTAAAGTTTTTTCTAGAATTTACTTTTCCTCTCTTGATGTTTAGCATTCCAAAATATTCTTAATAGCGTACAATTACCTTCTATGATGATGTGATTTCTCATCCTCATTCATCTATCTCTTAACAGAACCCTCATAGTCTTCGATCATTTTATGAATCTACTTTTTTTATGATTTCCCAAGTAGTTGTTCTGGTGGAACTTCATATTCCCTATGATCATACCTAGTATTTAATTTGAATGGCGTCTTTCCATCTATTTTTGCATCTTTTATAGATCTTGGCAGAATAAGGTTACTTTCTATATAAATATCTCGAGCCTTCATGTTGCGAGGACTAAGTGGTTACACATCATATTTTGATAGAGGCTCATTTGTTACAATGCTGGTCTTTCGCCATGGAGGGCGCACAGTAAACTAGAGCATCTCACTTTTCTTAGAGGAGTTATCATCCACCAAGTATTTCACTGATCTGATAATATGTTGAGAAGGATTCTTTCCTAGATATAAAGACTTCTAAGAATGATCATCCTTTGATGAAGTTGCCGGTGGCAGCTTTATTCTAGGAAGTGAAACAGATTTGTTCATGTGCGTGCTAGTTAAATTTTGAATAAAATGGTTCACATTATTTCCAGACTCAGTTGAATGCATTTAGTCTAGGATTGATAAACCTTGCTGCTATTTATAGAACCCCTGCTTTTATTCCTTGAGAGTTTGCATGAGCTGGTCAAAATCTTCTTTAAGCGCCTTGAAGTTGATTTTTTCAGCAGATTAACTTTAATTCATTTTCTTTTTTATATTTATCTCAAGTCTTTTTGGGTAATATAAAAAATATCATTCTAATATTTAAGTGAATTTCTACAAACGCAACACGGGGTTTTGGGGTTTTGGGGTTTTGGGG